GTATATAAAAAAATCTATTAAAAAGCACATTTTGGGTATTTTTTGAAAATATTACCTGAATTATTGCTTTGCAGCATTGGTCGGCGTTACATGCAGTCAAGACTTTGACAGATCCCACGACCAGGAATGGATCAGGGTCAGAAGTAGAAGGAAGACACTTGAGGAGGGTGACCAGTACTGCCTCACCTTTCCTATTCGTTGTCTCGTCACAGAGAACAACATATTGTCTGCCTTGCAGTTTTGCAGTAATTGTAGCATCGTAGTCCGCTTTTAAAATCGGAACATACTTGTCTCTTAATGTCCTGACACAGGGCAAATCTCCACCACCTAAATAAACAACATCACGTTTTTGAGGTTAGGTCACCGTACAGTCACTTAAAACAATAGGCTACGAAATCCAATACGCAAGCGTTTAAAGAAAACTAAGCGAGTGAGTTGTAAAAGAACTAGAGACAGCTTTACTCATAATGACACATTGTAATTACCTGGAATATACTTTTTGATGAAACCTCTCAGAGCCGGATTGTCCAACTTGTGCAAAGGGATGTTTGACAAGGTAAATGCACGAACTGTAGACTTTATAAATTCTTCTCGGTCTTCTCTCATTCGTTTTGACTGTTGGAAACTATCGTTGATCGACGTCTGTCTCTTTCTGGACTCATTTTCATTCGATTTTTCTTTAGCCTGCAGGTGCGTGTTTGAAGAGCAGTGGTTGTCGACGCTGCTTTTCTTTTCCCAATCCACACGAACTTCACAGTGTTTGCAGTGCATTATTCGTTTTTTTGAATCAAAAACGTACATACCTTCATTTTTGTAATCACTTGCCCGTCCCGAGCATGTCACTCTAGGTGTTTGGGGTTTACCCATTGTGTATTTGTTGATGCGCCTACTCTTCACCACACATGTCCCTTCGACTTGTCAAACACACGCCCACCTCGCTAGTGCTGCCTACAACCCAAACCGCAGCTGCGCAGAGCGTTCCCCGTTGCGTTTAGGACAAGGCGGTGACCGCCGATTGGCGCCAAATTCAAAATCGAGTCGCTGTTTGGCGTTTGAAGGCCAAAAACGGCAAAAAATAGCTATTCCACGAGAAAAAAAACGCGCCGCAGCCGATTTTGGGCCCAATTATGCTCTAATTATGCGATTATGCATTATGCTGCTTTTTGTGACCAATTATGCTTTTTTATGCTCTATATTTGTGAACCAGGGGGGGTACAAGGGTACCAAATATCTTGTCCCCGTTGTAATCGGACAACTTTTATGAAATTATGCGATTATGCTCAAGCATAATCTTCCTATCTCTATCTGTGTGTGTGTCTGTGTGTTTGTCTGTGCGCACGATAACTCGAGAACGAATTGAGCTAGCGACCTGGGATTTTCAGGGTCGTTTTGTGTCATAAAAAGACAGATCGAGTTCGAAGAGCATTCTAGCTCGAAAATTAGATTTTAAAAAAATCAAAAACCACAGGTCCCCAAAAAAAAGTATTTTTAAAAAATACTTTTCTACTGTTGCCTAAGGGGTAACTTATCGAAGTAGAGCCCTTCGGGCGAAAATTTCGTTCATTTGGCTCTATCTTTAACCGTTTAGGCACCAGAGGGAGTTTTCTACACGAAAATGACCGCAAAACATTCCTATGTGTATTCTCAGATATTTGTTCGTCTCCAGTAGGGTAACTCGTAAAAATAAAACCCCGAAGAACAAAATTTGTGACTTTTGAGGCCGAGTGCCTACTCACGACTTTGGCCCGACTCGGGTGTCAGCGCCGCAGGCCTAGGTAGATGTATGCCAGGCGCGTCGCAGCGTAACAGTGTTTCGTGAGATATGGCGAAGCCTGTTACGCGAGACGTGGTCTGGCGTACATCTTTCTAGTTATATTTAGTGTACAATTTTATTGAAACGTGAAAGTTAATAGTTCACATGTCATAGAGATTTGATCGTAGTATTCAAATTAACTTCAAACTATCCACAAACTTTTGTTTCTCTGTATTGTTCTTGTGTTTGATTTCTGCTACTTATAGTAATTCTGTTCTCTTTTCTGTTAGCTTACCTTGGAATTTAATTTGATGCACCCCAAAGCTGTTGACATGGTACGGGTACTTACACCTCTTGTACCAAAAGTACTGGATAAGATGCACGATGCAAGGACTCTAAATCCCAAGTGTGGTTTTGATAAGTTAAATAAAAAAGCACCTCGCCAATGTGTCTCTTACATTTTTATCGAAAGCCTGATGTGCGTCGGGCATTATTTTGTCTGAAATACTGAAAGTATTGGACCAGTGCGACAGGGTCTCCTCAGCGCTAGCAAATAGTTTTGTTCATTAACGAGATAAAAGATGCGAAATAGGTGAGATCTTGTTACTTTGCAGATCCTTGTGACCTGCGGCAACGTATTGTAAACTTTCCTTAACGATTCTTGCTTGGCAAAGTATTCTAAACACAGCTAATCTGCAGTGAGAAAAGCACTGAGCGTTGGTTTGAACGGCCGGTTCGCGCTGTCCGGGCGGCGACTTCCAGGGCTCGCGCATAGGCCGCGCTCTCAGCACTGCGTTGCGACCCCTTGCTTTTTCAAAGCAGAGGGGCGGGCTAAAAAGTGGACAAGAAAGCTTGAAGTGTTGGGAATAATCAGCTCGCTTCATGTTTAGGCCTAGGGCGTCTCTAAATACGAGAAATGTTGGGTCTAAAGCGGACTAGGCACACTTTAGGAGGAAAACGTCATTTGAAACCTCTTTGCGTCGACGTTAAGCATGTAGGTACCAATATTATTTCATAATAATATGCCTTGTTCTTTACCCTTTCCGACAATAAGTGTTTATCTATTTTCGAGTTAATTAGGGGGTGCGGCAGAAGATTTTCGGCGCATCTACCAACGCTCAGCGCCGGGCGCCGCTCACCCGACCAACCAACTGAACGACCCACTCGCCAACCTGACTTTCCTAATCCGAAAGCGCCCTTGGTGTGGCGACGACATTCTCTAACTTTTAAATGCTTTTAAGAGCAGGAAGCGGCATTTCCTACGCATCATGATCAGGACAAGACCAACATAGGCCTACTCTATGCCTAGATGGCTGCGGAACCTGAACAGTTTGGCCTTGAAGTCCATGGGAAGCAACGCCGTGGCAAAATGTCGTCACTTAAGACAACTTACAGGGTTGAACCTATGAAGCGGACAAAGACGTGTATGGGGCGAGCTCCATTAAAGTGGAAATTTTATGATTAAATGGTTGACAGTTTTGGACGAAATGCATTTCTGGAGCCACATATATCCATCACGGTTGAAAAAGGGCTGAAAGTAACGGAGAGAAATACTACTAAGGTGCCCAAGTCGACCAAGAAGATCAGAGGTCGTTACACTTCCAAGAATAAGGCCGCAGGTAAATCATGGGCTCAGATTGTGCATGAAGTTAACAACCAACAGAAAAATAATACACTGAAGCAACTGGCACCAATGAACAGTGCTCATCAAGAAAGGTCACAAGAGAGGGGGAGGGGGACCCAGGGACCCAGCTGAATCAGCTAGTTGCAAATAGTAGCACCCACTGAAGAACTTCTAAAGGACTGTGCCACACTAGATTCGCAGAGGTTTGGTCAACTGCGAGAAGTTGTCGACACCCTTCTCAATATAGTTGCTGCGAGTGCGAAGGTTAACGCCGCGCAAGCAAGAAAGAAACTGCATGCTTTTCCAAAGGCTTACATTGACATGGTGATTTCCAGCCTTCCCTACGACGGCTCTAGTTTAACTTGAAAAGATCGGGATTAATTGGGACAACGATTTAAACGTTGAAATTGACAAAAATTCTAATAAATAAGTATATCGTGCGAAATGCGAGGTCTGCCCTCGTTGCCTTTGTGCTTTTAGGCTATTTCACACTTATCCTATCCTTCGTTTTACATATGCCTCACTATTTAACTGTTATGAGTACGTATTGACACTACCCACTACAGAGAGGTCCTGCAAAAGAGTATTTTCTGTCGTTGAATTTGTTAAGGACAGACTCGGGGGCTCATTAGGTCTGGATATTTTTAAAAATGCCATTTTCTTTTATGTAGAACGTGCTTTAAGCTCATCATTCAATAAAAAAAAGTCATACTTTCGGTATCAATTCGGATGAATAAAGCATTGCGGTAAAGCTGAAAAGCAGAAGAATGCGGCGAACAAGAAAACGAAAGCCACCATGTAAAAGCATAGTGATTTACATTGTCTTCTTCCCCTCAATCTGCTGAATGTCAGCTTTACCATAATGCTTTATTGATGCGCTTTCTCTGTGGCTGTACTAACTGCTAATGTGAATGTATGTTAGATGTAATAATGAAAAAACAACAACACAATTTCCAATTTTTATTTTTAGAAAATCTTTGTATTTCGCTATATATCCTTAGTGGGGTGGCGGCGGTGGCAGCTGGGGCTCTTACCCACCCAGTTCGGCCCTGATAGTGTTCATGATTATACTCTATAGGCCCATTCCAATGGTATACAAAAGTGACTCTGAAATCGCCCTGAATCATTTGTATGGTAGGTTCGGCCATTTAACATTTACCGTCGAAGTCATCGTAAATGGATTTGTTGGATTTCTATCTAGATTTTTAGAATGAGAATATCTTTTCAAATACCTTCGCTGGAATAATATCACGTAATAGTGATAATCTCAAGCAAGATGACAGTCGCGACGAAACGGTTGAGAGCAGACGCACCGATGCACAAGCCATGAGGCTGAGATCAGACCAGCGTCATCTTCGCCCCCCGTTTCCGGTGCCCAGCTATCCGAAATACCCTCTAGCTATATGTATGCCAGACCAGGTCTCGCGTAACAGGCTTCGCGATATTTCACGAAACGCTATTCCGCTGCGACGCGCCTAGTGCACATGTAGCTAGGCCTGCGGCGCTGGCGCTGACACCGATTCAAGTTAGTGCACTGTGAGAAAAACAACGGAAAATCAACGGACAACAGCGGCAATTATTTTCCGGACTTGTCCGTACCCTACATTTTGTTACATATGGTCCAACTTTAACGGTTCTTCCGTACCTCTTCACTGAGGTATGCTATAACGGAATGTCCGTTGCCAGCCCCGTAGTATCAGATAATGTTTTACAGTGTGGATAACTGCTTAACCGCTTCAAATTTTATGTCCCTACAGCGACTGTGCGGGTTATCACTTCTTAATATGCAAAACGGGACTTGAGCTAAATTGGAACAAATATTATTTTAAAGTCCCAATATTGTAAGATTTTGACGTCATAACTAACTTTTTCGAGAGAGTAGAAGGTCAAGTGCACCTAGAACACTGAGAAAGGTTAGTTTCGACGCAAAATGAGTCCTTAAAAGGGGTATTTCCCACAGTCCTTTTGAAATGCACCCTTTTATACGATTAAATAAGCTATTTGGTATTTTTCGGCTTATTTTCGTCAAAAAATGTCCCCTATGACCAAACCGTCGAAGAAAGAGCAAAACAGACAAAATTTTCGTCAAAGGCTCTACGAGGGAGAAATCACTCCAGATGAAAGTGAACGAGTTAGTACGTTTGTACAGTTCAGGCACATCCTATTTTAGGACGATTTTTTATAATTTTACAAAGTTCTGTTATTGGCTGAGCGGTAGCGAAGCCTATTACTCCAGTGATGATCAAAAAGTTTCGCGTCTGTGTGTCTGTGTGTGTGTTTGTCTGTCCGCACGATAACTCGAGAACGAATAGGGTGTTCCAGGCTACCTAAAACGGAAGTGAAAAAGAACAAACTCACTGATTTATCTGTTTCCGTCCGCCCAGTATGAGAAACTGCCATGGCAGTTTTGTCCGATCCTAACCTCTCAAATATGGAGGGGAGCTCGAAACTGAACAGTTTCTCATACCAGAAAGGCCTCGGAGGCACGTGATAAGCTCGACCAATCAGAGCCATAACGGAAACAGAAAGGTCAGTGAGTTTGTTCTTTTCCTACTTCCGTTTTAGATTGCCTGGAACACCCTATTGAGCTAGGGACCTGGGATTTTCAGGGTCGATTTGTGTCATAAAAAGACAGGTCGAGTTCGAAGAAGAGCTTTCTAGCTCGAAAATTGGATTTAAAAAAAAACAAAAACCACAGGTCCCCAAAATGAAGTTTTTTAAAAAATATTTTTTTACAGTTTCCTAAGGGGTAACTCATCGAAGTAGAGGCTTTTGGACGAAAATTTCGTCCATTTGGCGCTATCTTTAACCGTTTCGGCACCAGAGGAAGTCTCGTACACGAAAATGACCGAAAAACATTTCTTTGTTTTTTCTCAGATATTTGTTGGTCTCCGGTAGGGTAACTCGGAAAGATAAAACCC